CCCTTGTTGGGATTCAACAGAAGTCAAAATCAAACCACTTTTGAGTCCACTTGGTCTTGTACAGTTAAGATAGTTTTATTAAAAAGCCAGGTGGATAAGTTTACCCAGTTAAACATTTTACAAGCGCGTCACTGCATTTGTATTAATTGTGTTCGGAGGATATTGCAGTCTGTTGAGAGAACTGAGTTACAAGTTTTCAGTGGCATGGGGTGAAAGTTTAATGCAGAGCTCAGAAGTGGAGTCCGTTGTGTCTTAATAAGTAAGGGACAGGGTGGAAGCAATTGATTCACTTGTCATTACATGTTTTAAAGACAGATTTTCAATAACTTCACCACATTATTTGTTCATTTACTCAAACAAGCTTTTACCATAGGCCTTCCACTGTGCTGGACTCTGGAGTGCCAAATAATAATAATACCATTTATGGAATGCTCATTTTGTACCAGTACACACGTTACATTCATCTAATAAATATTTGTTGAGTGCCTGCAATGTGCTAGCTGCTGGAGTTAGCAGGCACAGAGGGCTGTGCTTCCTGTGCTTCTCTAGTGGGTAGCCGGGCAGGACATTCAAAAGCATTACCAGGCTAGTCACAGGTTTTGGAATGTAAATCAGATCTCAATGGCTTCCTGAGTGAAAGTGGCCCCAGTGTTTACCCCATCTGGTCCTCCTCAGTCCCCCATCCTGACACCTTTTTAATCTCATCTGCTGCTCTTCTTACTCGTACTTCCACAGCCAAACTGGCTTCTTTGCTGTTTGGGGACCTTTGGACTGGCTGTTTCCCCTGCCTGCAGTACCCCCTGCAAGTCCTCGTATCTGTATAGTTCTCTCTGACCCCCTTCACTTCTTCACTCAAATTTTATTCTCAGTGAGACTTCACTAAACCCAGGATTTAAAATCACCCCTCCCCCCACACTTTTGCAACTCCCATCCCCTGTTTCACAAGGTTTGTTTTTTTTTTTTTTTTTTCCTCCTCAGCATTTATGACAATCTCACTAATGCACTCCGTAATTTACTCCTTTGTTTGTGGCCTGTGTACCCCACTAGAGTGCCTACTCCAGCTCAGTGGTAGTATCCCTGCTGTATCCTCATTCTGGAACAGGGCCTGGTGTACAGGTCCTGAAGAACTGTTGGTTGAATGAATTTTGTTTGGTGGAAAGAAAGGGGCAATTTCTGGCAGAGTAACCAGAGGTCCCTAAGTTAGTGGTAAGAAGGCTACTCTGTGGAGGTGTGTGGCTTTCTTGGAACCAAGGAATGGTCCTTGTGGCTGAATGTGACAGCTGGAAGGAGAGGACACAATGAAGGCAGGATGAAGGCAGAGGGGTAATCAGGTGAAAGATGCAGCGTCTCGTAGGCTAGGGTTCGGATGAAATCACGTTGAGTCCTCATACAGACCCTATTAACAGCTATGTTGTAGTTTACAAAGCTGGACATCAAGGTGATTAAGTAACTTTCTGAGGTTACACAGTAGGTGAATAGAAACAGCTTAAGCTAGGCTCTCAGACTTCAAAGCACTTACATTTGGCCACATTCTGTAACATCAGCAGACTTAGCCCCCATTCTGATGGGGCTGTTCATCTAGTATTCTAGTGGGAAGGAAGCTAAGCCATCGAGGCACGCTAGATAGATGTATTCTGGGGCAGCGGGTGGGGGAGTTATGGTATGTGGGAAGCATCTAATTCCACCTGGGAATGGGACAGGCCAAGTTGGAAAAACAAAATGATATTAATAATTGTTACTATGAGATACTTCAGATTGGCTGCATTTTCATTAAGAAGTCTTGTTAATGTTAAATGCCTAGTCTTCAAGACTTCCCTGTGTTCATTTTTACCCCCTTGCTTGATTTCATACCTGTGTCATATGCCCCTTTTCCTCCTTTTAGCAAATAAAGGATTGTGTCTGGGATGGTATAGAATCACGAATGCTTAAAGCCTGTAATCCTTCATAAATTGCAGGTTATATTCTCTCCCTCCCCCCATGATGAAAATGACCATCTATTCTCTGACAGATAACTTAAATGTCTGCATGTATTAGGTAGCGTAGGCTAACTGCTATGTAACAAACAGTTTTGGGAAAGAAGTCACCATGCAGCTCACACTGAAAGGAGTGGAGAATTATGCTCCATCCCCTTGAAGGGTGTTGCTTTTTCATCCAAGAGAGAGGAAGGGAGAGGGAAAGAGTGAGAGAAATATCCATGAGAGAGAATCATGGATAGGCTGCCTCCTGCACACCCCCTCCTGGGGATCAAGCCTGCATCCAGGACATGTGCCCTGACCAGGAATCGAACCCGGGTCCCTTAAGTCCGTGGGTCGATGCTCAACCACTGAGCCATGCTGGCCAGGCTATAATGATTATTTATATAGTCAGGTATAAATCCTGCTATTTGTATTCTGTCTTTCTCACTGTTCTCAGTTTCTTTTGCTCATATTTTTCTTTCTTCATTTGGATATATGGGATAATTTTGATTATTCTGTTTTATCTCTTTTTGGCTAATTAGGTATCCTTTATTTTGTTATTTAGTGGTTGCATTAGGGTTTTTAGCATACATCATAGTTTACCTTCAAGTATGTTATTTCATGTACAGTATGAAAACCTTGCAATAGTATATTTTCATTTCTCTTCCTCTGACTTTTGTGCTATTGTTATACATTTTTTTTTGTCTGTTACAAACCCCACGCTACATTACTGTTTTTGTTTGAGCAATCATTTTTTAAGGGGAATCTAAATAATATAATAGAGCCATATGTTTTTACCCATGCAGTTATACAGGTTGTAATTTAGTTTTACTGTTGTTAAATAAAAAGAACAAATAATCACATGCTGAGGTAATTGGATTCATATGTCACAAGTTAGAATACATTCTAAAGAAAAGTGAAATTCAGAAACCAGAGCCTCATTCATCTTAAATGAAATCCACGGCGCTGTCCCTGAGGAGCTCATTGCTGTGTCAGGAAGATGTCCCAGGATCCTGGGGGGCTCGGCAGCACTCAGGCACCTGGGCGTGGGGAGCCCCGGGCAGGCACTGCTGCTTCCTGTCCTCCCTCTCAGCAGCGCTAGGAGGGGGAGGGGGAGGGAGAGAAGGAATCCTCTGCCCGTGCTGACAATTTCCAGGCCCTGAGAAACTTTGAAAGATGACTTTGAAAGCATTTCTTTCCTTTTGATAGTGTCTGAGATGAAAATCACTTGCCAAAACCGGTTTGGCTCAGTGGATAGAGCGTCAGCGTGCGGACTGAAAGGTCCCGGGTTTGATTCCGGTCAAGGGCATGTACCTGGGTTGCGGGCACATCCCCAGTAGGGGCTGTGCAAGAGGTAGCTGATCGATGATTCTCTCTCATCGATGTTTCTAACTCTATCCCTCTCTCTTCCTCTCTGTAAAAAATCAATAAAATATATTAAAAAAAAATCACTCCGTGATGGCTCTGCAGGTCCAAGTAACACATTTGAGAAGAGTGAGCCACAGGCTTCTGCTCGTCCCTGTTCATTGACTGAAAGTTGTGGTCTGCGATGCGGCTCTTGTCTCTCTAGAATCTGCCTTCTCCTTGTTACTCTGGTTCCTGCTGACGCTTCATCTTCCTCTAGGTTAGGGGTGTCGAACTCAATCAGAGAAGGGGCCAAAATCTAAAATCCAGCCTAAATCACGGGCCGAATGGTTTACTGAATAGTCATAAACAGTCATTGTGATGGAAACGCAGCGGAGTGCAGTGATGACAGCGCGGTGCGGGCCACATTGCAAGGCCTGGCGGGACGGATTTGGCCCGCGGGCCTTGTGTTTGACACATGTGCTCTAGGTACTGCCAGGGCTTGCTGTTGGTCATCAGTGAGTAGCTACTCTGCGTCTGGGTGTGTAAATGTGCCTCTATCCTGAATGTTAACACAGAACATGGACCAATATTCAACTGTAAACAAGTAGAAAAACTCAGTGCACTCCACAAGTTAATTTACTTTATAGATGTTTATGGAACCTGGGCACTCGCACATGGAAAATGTACGTCCCTTGCCTCTAGAAAGCTAGCTGTCTGGAAAGAGAAAGCCCACAAGCAGAGGAAAGGGCACTCTGTATGGTAATTGGTGATCACCACAATGGAGACAGGAATAGGGCGGGGAGAAAGCTTAGCGTGGGGGTTCTCAAAAAGTGCCCGCCGAGGCCGGCAGCATCACACCGGAACCTGGAGGGTGGGGCCCAGCAGCCCGTGTTTAACACGCTTCCCGAGTGATGCTGATGCTCACTCAAGCTGTGAAACCACCAGCACGGAGGATTAGGTCATCCCCAGCTCCTAAATGCTATGAGTATCGGCAGGAAATGTGCTCTGTCGTGCTGTGGAACAAATTCAGAAAGAGTCTGGAGGCTTTGGCTAGAAATAAATGATAACCATTTATTCAAGGGCCTTAGGGTTTGCAAACCCTAGGAACACAACTAGGCAAAACCCCCGATGTATTCTCAAGAAGAAAGAGAAGCTAAGCGTCCTCACAGTAAGAAAGACATCTGTGAGAAGAATCAGCTCTGTGTTCTCAGGCTCCGGATTGGTCCAGGACGATAGCTCAGATCATCACAGGTGTGGAGAGTGATGCCAGCGGGTCTGGATACCTGGACACTTTCCTGAGTCTTTCAGGGGGGGAGTCAGAGAGTTATCTGGAGGTTTGGTATATTATATATCCAGGTACTGAGGCAGGACTGGAGAGTTCAAAAGTTCAAGTTCCCAGGCTAGTTAAAGCAAGAATAGAATGCTTTCCTCACACCTCCACCTACCTGATTTTAATAATTTAGCAACTTGACTATAGTGACTCCATTTACTCCATCCCGCCGTGCTTTAAGAGCAGTGTTGGCACTAATGCAGTGTCATGTAAAACATGAATTACTATGTGGGTAAAACAGACATGGGTGAAGTTACACTTGACCCTGGAGAAATAGTAAGTTAGATTTATAATTCTTCCCCCCCCCCCCAAAAAAAAAATATAAAAAGATTTACTGCAATAATATTTTAAACAATAGAAGATAGCTGGACACCTACATGGCACACAGACGATAGGACACACAACCTGAGGGGAGGAGCAAGAGAGGGTGGCAGAGGCTGTGGGTTAGACTAGGAGCCTTTCAATGGACTGCTGAATGGACTGGATCTGCTGCTTCAGCTGGGAGCCCTCTTTGATGGTGCCGGAGCAGGCGATGACAGGCCTGGAGACCCCGCAGGCCCGGCCCAGAGCCTGCTTGGAGCGCACAAACACGTAGGGCACGTTCTTGTCCTCGCACAGCAGCGGGAGGTGCAAGATGATCTCCAGGGGCTCTGCGTCCGCCGCCATCACAGTGAACTCCGAGATGCCTCTGCTCAGGGTTTTGGTGGCCTCGTTGGCTCCTTTCCGAAGCTGCTTGTAGTTACAGGACTGCTGGACGAGGTCCAATAGCTTTTTGGTGAGGTGGGCATCGGCGAGAGGGTAGGCCTTCGGATTTGCATCAGCCTGGGTCATGGCTGCGGGCCGGCGCTCCCCTCTTCCTAAGACGCGCGGCCGACGTGCGTCAGAGAGGGGGCGCTATAATTCTTTTATTATGAAAAATGTTAATATATTCAAAGGCAGATAGAATAGTGAAATGAACTTCTGTGTAAACATTACCTAGTATTAATAATGATCAAATCCTGCTGATTTGGTTTTACCTAAACCCTCACCTATCCCTGCATGCTGGATTATTATTATTTTTTTAATTAAAAATATTTTTATTGATTTCAGAGAGGCAGAGAGAGCTAGAAACATCAGTGATGGGAGAGAATCATTGATTGGCTGCTTCCTGCATACCCCCCACTGGGGATCGAGCCTGCAACCTGGGCATGCACCCTTGACTGGAATCGAACCCGGGACCCTTCATTCTGCAGGCCTACGCTGTATCCATTTAGCCAAACCAGCTAGGGCTGCATGCTGGATTATTCTGAAGCAAATTTCATACATCATATAATTTCATTAATCAATAATTAGATTTTAAATTGATCTATTAAGGTGCTAAAGATGAATTTGAAACTGAATCACATAGCTTTTTTTATTGCTCATAACAAATTATAAAGCTTAGCTGGAGTTTATTTACACAAAAGATGAGTGAAACAAAACAGTAAAATTCATTAAAAATAAATATACTGGTTATAACAGTGAAAACATTTTATCAAAACATTTTATGTACCATCATCACGATAGCAATAGACATTATACTTATAGATAATATTCTAGGCTAGAAAGAAAGAATATACACCCATACACTGCCAAAATTGGAATACTATGCCGGAAGGAGAAACTTAAATTAGAAAGGCAAGTTTTTGGGAAGGGAGATGTTATAAGAAGTTTTTGCAGTTTCTGGGCAAATTTTAATGCATTAAAAATGTACATTATAATAATACATTACCAATTCTCATTCATTTCAGCAGTTATGTTGCCTCATTTGGAAAGGAAAGGTATTTAACATGTAGGGAGGAACAATACATCTTTAAAAAAAATCTCAGCATTCTGCACAGACTTTTCATCAAGATTAGGGATGGCCTGTTTTGTTAGGACTCCGGCTGTCCGAGAGTTCATCATGTTTGGAGGAAGGGGCAGAGTTAATTTACACAGACATGTCTTCACCCATGCTGTCTTTGGAGTACACGTTAGGAGAGCCTGAGAAAAACTGGTGGTGTTACGACTAAAATGTTCACTTTCGGCTGTGACTGTCTGACCCATTAATAGGTCATACCACAGGTGTTAGATAATTTCCATTTTAAAAATGCTGATTACTTAGAAGTAATTTTTACCTTAAGTGTAAATTGCAACAAGAGAAGTAAAGCTGAACCCTGACTGGCTTGGCCCAACTGTTTGGAGAGTTGTCCAGTATACCAAAAGGTCATAGGTTCAATTCCTGGTCAAGGCACATAGCCAGGTTTTGCTCACCAGTCAGGGAGCGTAAGGGAGCAAACTTGATGTTTCTCTCTCACATTGATGTTTCTCTCCCCCTTCCTCCCTCTTTCCTTCTCTCCTCCTCACTCTCTCTCTAAGAAAAATAGGTGTACACGAAGCTTCAAATGTTAACAAATATTTTTTAAACTATATTTTTGTGTTTTTTTTTTTACGGAGAGGAAGAGAGAGGGATAGAGAGTTAGAGACATCAGTGAGAGAGAATCATCAATCAGCTGCCTCTTGCACACCCCCCACTGGGGATGTGCCTGCAACCAAGGTACATGCCCTTGACCGGAATCGAACCTGGGACCTTTCAGTCCGCAGGCCGACGCTCTATCCACTGAGCCAAACCAGTTTTGGCGTTAATAAATATTTTAAAAAAGAAGTAAAGTGAAATAAGTTAGACAGAGAAAGATAAATACCCTATAATTTCACTTATATGTGGAATCTAAAAACCAAAATAAACAAAGTAGAAGACACTCATAGTTGGAGCTAACAAACTGATGGTGGCCAGATGGGAGGCGGAGGGAGGCTGGGTGAAAAGGTGATGGGATTAAGAAGTACAAATTGGCAGTTACTAAAACAGGCCCGGGGATGTGAAGTACAGCGTAGGGACTATAGTCAGTAATACTGTAATAACCATGTATGGTGCCAGGTGGGTACTAGACTTAGGGGGGAGGGGCACGCCACTTCATGATTTATCTAAATGTCTAACCACTGTGCTGTATACCTGAAACTAATATAATATTGCATCTCAGCTGTAGTTGAAAATTAAAAATAAATAAAGCTGTTCAAGACTGTTCCACATGCCTCCAAAAGAAATAATTAAACAACCCACAGCTCAAATGCATCTAAGCTCTTAGTACTGTGATAGTACATGATGAGATTGTTTGATAGGATAATGCATGCTAGAGCTTTTAGTTCTAAAATTGGAGCTAGCTATTCAGAATAAAATTTTTTCAAAAAGGAACGACTATCATAAATTCTGTTTATAAAAGAGTTAAGGGTGTGTTCACACTTGTGTGTTAGCAGAAAGAGATTACTAGCATTCTCTTGCTTGAATAGCCTTTGTGGGTTGCTCATTTGATGACACCGAGTAAGAATTTTTTCTCTGTTAATGGACTTGTGTTTAAAAGAAAGTCTGTTACCTTTGTAGTCTTTGTAACTTTTTCGTTATAACAAGCTGCAACTCAGTTGGGTAATGATTACTTTTATAAATAGTGTTTAGTCCATACCTGGCTTTATATCCTCCTGAGCCCAACGAAAGGAAACTCCCAAACGCTTGTAACCACAGGCTGATGATTTGATTACAAGCCTGTGTCGGTGATGGTTTCTGAGCCCCGGAAGGTGCATACGCTCCTGTGTGAGTCATCCTGTTGCCTTGCAGTTGGCCATGTGTTTGCTTAGCAACCGCCGCTGATTTGAGGTTTGAGCTGGGAGAGTGTGTTTTAAAAACGATCCCACCTATTCTTTCAGGTTATATGTGCCTGTGAAACCCTGTAAGTTTACTGTGAATGTCGTGTGTCCCACAAAAAGGGAAGATTTAATTGCAAATAGTTTTTCTTCTGATCTGTGTCTCAGTGGGCTGCGGGTGGGGTAAGGAGAAACAGAAGTGAGTCCGGGAGACTGTGAACTTGCTGGTTTATGCCCCTGGCCCAGAGCAGAACCACTTGGCCTCTCTGGCTGATGGGATAAGTATAATTTACTAGGGCCTTGGTCTTGAGTAATACTCCTGTGTGTATCACTATTAAAGGAACACGTGAATTTTGGAAATGTGTGTGTGTTGTGGAATGGTTAAGAATATAGCTTCTACTGAAACCGGTTTGGCTCGGTGGATAGGGCGTCATCCTGCGGACTGAAGGTCCCGGGTTCGATTCCGGTCAAGGGCATGTACCTTGGTTGCGGGCACATCCCTGGTAGGGGGTGTGCAAGAGGCAGCTGATTGATGACTCTCTCTCATCGATGTTTCTAACTCTCTATCTCTCTCCCTTTCTCTCTGTAAAAAATCAATAAAATATATTAAAAAAAAAAGAAGAAAAAAGAATATAGCTTATTTTTTTTTCTTTTAAAAAAGATTTTTATTGATTTCAGAGAGGAAGGGAGAGGGAGTGAGAGAATCATTCATCGGCTGCCTCCTGCACACTCCCTACTGGGGATTGAGCCCTGCATGTGCCCTGACCGGGAATCGAACCGTGACCTCCTCCTGTCATGGGCCCGCTCTCAACCACTGACACACTCCGGTTGGGTGCAAATAGTATTTTTACCGATGGAGAAATAGAGGCTCAGCAGGGGCCCGATATTATTTAAACATCTACCTTAATCTCAGGGCACCTCTCCCTTTTATCTTTCTCTTCAAGCTCTTTGGAGCCAGAGGAGAGCCAGGCTAGGAAGAGTGAGTGAGCCCTGAAGGCCGAGGCCGCTCTCCGGCCTTTCCCATCAGGTGCCACCCTCAGGAGGAGAGAGAATAACCCTGGCACTGGCCCGTGTGAATCTGTTACCTGAGGAATGCCAGGGAGTGTCTCACTGTTAATTCTCAAGTTCCAAGGTTACTTTCCTTTTAAAATACTTGAAAAGTCAAATCCTTCAAGATTTTTTCCCCCTTTTGCTTCTGATGAAATGGAAACATTTGGGTGGGAGTGGATTAAACCTTTCTAAGACGAGCCTTTTTTTAGTCGAACTGGAGGGGATGAGGGAGGCAGAGTGGATAAAGCTTTTCTCCTCACTGTTACCCCTTCACTAGACGATGGGATGTGGGATCTGAGGTCAAGCTCACGGATGCAGATTAAAAATTAAATGTGGCCGAGACCGGTTTGGCTCAATGGATAGAGCGTCGGCTTGGGGACTGAAAGGACCCGGGTTCGATTCCGGTCAAGGGGCATGTACCTTGGTTGCGGGCACATCCCCAGTAGGGGGTGTGCAAGAGGCAGCTGATCGATGACTCTCTCATTGATGTTTCTAGCTTTCTATCTCTCTCCCTTCCTCTCTGTACAAAATCAATAAAATATATTAAAAAAAATTAAATGTGGCTAGACTTTCAGCCTTTTTTTTTTTTACAAGTTTATTTTTATTATTACACAGATCCAACAGCACACACATTTCAAAAGCAAAAGCCTTCTTCGTATTATTTTCACTTTCCATTTCTGCAGGCTCTGCCTGTCCCTAGAGATCATCTTTATGGAGGGCGGTATGTTTATCCTGTTTGAACACTCGGAACCCTGACAAAGCAGTCATTACACAACTGTAGTTACCATTTGTGCTTTTTCCTTTTTACCCGGACATTCGGTATTAGGGTACGTTATTGAGGTTTCCTAAATATGGTTCTTCTTTTAGCCTGTATCCCGAGTCCCGTCCACATGAAGTGGGATTTGAGTTCCGTGCTCTGGATCGCCTTTCCAATCAGTGACATAGCTGGGGTTAGCGTTTGGATACCTGAGCTGCTTGCCTGTTGCTGAACCAGTTCTGGTGGTTAATTTATTACACAGGTTTGCCAGTTAACTGCCCCTGCAACACTGGGCAGGAAGCACGTTTCATCTGATGTTCTGAGGAGCGTTTACGTTAACATAGGCACATTTTGGTTTGGTCAGAATATTAATCTTTTAACCACTTCCTGTGTGGACTGAT